TATACTTAAAAGTCATATCTAAGGTCTGAATGGTAAGGATTTACTTATTCTATTCCTTATAGGACTAGGGTTTGGTTTAGGGGTAAGGGTCCATGATCCATGGTGGACCCTTCTCAATTAATTAAGGGAATTTAATTCTCTTTTAATGGTAAGTAATTAAATAATTAGTCTGGGTTAGAGGCCGTAACACGGGGTGCTACACCCACACTGTTGCCCAGGCCGTCGCTGCATCGCACTGCCGCCGCTCCGCGACACACAGACACGCTGCCTAACCTCCCCGACGTCCGCTGCACTCCCGACCGCCGTTCGCTACACTGTCGTCGTTCGAGGTATTTTTTTAATTATTATTAATTAATTCAAATTTTAGTAAATATAGTTATATTTTAGGGTTTATTTGTATTATATTTGTAATTATTATTGATTTATTTTGAATTTTGGTAAATATATTTTCATTTTATGGTATATTTGTATTATAATTGTAATTATTATTAATTTATTTAGAATTTTAGTAAATATATTTGTGTTTTAGGGTTTATTTGTATATATTTGAAATTATTATTAATTTATTTCGAATTTTAGTAAATATATTTGCATTTTAGGGTTTATTTGTATATATTTGAAATTGTTATTAATTTATTTCGAATTTTAGTAAATATATTTGATTTTAGGGTTTATTTGTATATATTTGAAATTATTATTCATTTATTTCGAATTTAAGTAAATATATTTTCATTTTAGGGTTTATTTGTATTATATTTGTAATTATTATTAATTTACTTCAAATTTTAGTAAATATATTTACATTTTAGGGTTTATTTGTATACATTTGAAATTGTTATTAATTTATTTCGAATTTTAGTAAATTATCATTATTAATTAATTATTAGATCATTTATTGCAAATAATCTATAAACTTTAAATTATGTGGACTTTTTATATGCATGTGAATTTATTTAATTTGTACAGGATACTAAGTCAAGCATTAGTTAGAATATTACAACTAGCTAGCTTAGTGTATTCATTACTTAGTGTACTGAAAAACTAATACTCCTAACTAGTCTACTCTCGCCACAACAATTATTTTAGATATTTGTTGAATCAATATTAACAAAAGTTTAATTGGAATTAATATTATCCTAGATTCACTTGTGATGGATAAAAGTTGGATGAATGCTTCTCGATTGAGTACAGAATATGCAGCCGGAGTTACAGAATTTATAGAGTTTGCAAAACGTCATCTTCAAATAATGATGCGATGTTTTTTTTTGTCCTTGTAAGAAGTGTTGTAATCTAAAACTATTAAGTGCAAAGGACATATATGATTATCTAATTTGTAATGGAATTAATCCAAATTATACAAAATGGATATGGCACGGTGAAGGAGGAGGAGGGACTAGTACATCTAACATGTATGTTGACAACGAAGCAAATGAAGATGATGAGTCTAAAGATAGGTTGGACGAAATGTTCCGTGATGTTGGAGAAGAGTCCACCAATCGATCAAATGAGTTGGATGAATTATTAAATGATTCAAAACAGCCTTTATGGCCAGGGTGTTGTAAATATACTCGGTTATCTGCTGTTTTGAAATTATTCAACTTAAAAGCTGGGAATGGATGGAGCGACAAGAGCTTTACTGCTTTACTTGATTTAATAAAGGATATGCTTCCCAGAAGATAATGGACTCCTGAAGAATACATATGATGCCAAGAAGATTATGTGTCCCATGGGTATGGAGTATGAAAAGATACATGCTTGTCCTAACGATTGCATATTGTTTAGGAATGATTACAAAGAATTGAATGCATGTCCAATCTGTGGGGCATCTCGGTACAAAATAAGAGAGCATGTTGTTGGTAAGGCAAGTTCGAAAGAGCTACCAGCTAAAGTTATGTGGTATCTCCCAATTCTTCCAAGATTTAAGCGTATGTTTACAAATCCAAGCGACGCGAAAAACTTAACCTGGCATGCAGATCAAAAAAATTCTGATGGCAAGCTTCGACACCCGGCTGATTCTACTCAATGGAAAACCTTTGATAATGTTTTTCCTGAATTTGGCATTAAGTCGAGAAATCTTAGACTTGGACTTTGTAATGATGGTATAAACCCTTACGGGAACCTAAGTAGCAAGCATAGCTCGTGGCCAGGATATATAAACGTCACCATGCAATATGGACAGAAACAATGCTATTTAGCCCCATATATTTTAAAGTAAGTTTTAATTGTTTCAAATAAAATAACTTATATATAATATACTTCTATTATATAATAACTTAAATACATTATTTATTTGTAGTGATCATTGGATGTTAATGGCAATTTGTCCTCAACTTAATGAAATCTATTGGTTTGATTCCATTGGAGGCGAGCCACGTGATGACATCAAAGATATAATTGAAACGTATGTGAACTTATAACTATTAATATATTATTAATAAAGTATGCATGATGCCATAAAGTATTTAAGTATACTAATCTCTTATAATTTTAGGTGTGTGAAATCAACAAATTTGTTGAGAAGCAATACATCAACTTGTTCACCAGAATGGACTAAAGTTTTGGTAAGTATTTTATATACATTAGTAAAACTACATATATTTTACTGTTTTTTATTAAATAAAATTTTAAATGTAATTTAATTCAAATGTAGTGTGCCAAACAAGTTGGAAGTATGGAATGTGGATATTATGTCATGAAATACATCCTTGAAATTCTTTCCAAAGAAGCATGTGCGGGAATTGATAAGGCATGTAATTTAATATAATACCTTTCTCATTCTAACTTTAAAAATGCTAGCTTACTAATTATTTATTAATTATCAACTTTGTAGATTGTTGAGAGAGTTGGTGGATCGAGCTACACTCAACAAGAAATTGATCAAGTTAGAGACGTACGGGCCGACTTCTTAATTGATGTATGGTTAAATATGTGAATAAAACTAATTGATCTTAGGTTGATAATTTTAACTTGTATTATTTGATAAGTATCAAATTGTGAGATTTATTAGTTTTATTACTTGTTCTATTATAAATATTAGATTCTACATATTTTGATGTGGCTGTGATGCAATAATTGAGCAAGTTTTGGATGTGGTTGTGAGTAATTTGAGCAGGTTTTTGGGTATAAATTGACAAATAAACTGTATATTAAAAAAAACATACAACGTCGGCTATTTAGTAATAGCCGACGTGTATATATATTAAAAAAAATAATAAATACTTTATAATGTCGGCTAATTGGTATTAGCTGACGTTGTAAAGTATTTAAAAAAAACATTACAACGTCAGCTATTTACTAATAGCCGACGTTGTAATGTATATTTAAAAACAAACAAACACCTACAACGTCGGCTATTTATAAATAGCTGAAGTTGTAGGTAATTAATAATTAAATTAAAATATATATATATAATGTTGGTTATTTAAATAACTGACATTATATATATTATATACAACGTCGCCCAGAACAACGTCGGTATGTAGCCGACGTTAAAAGCCTGCTGTGTAGTAGTGAAATGAAAGTAGAAGGTTAGTGAAATTAAAGTCTAAAAAGTACCAAAATGAAAAACTAAAATAAAGCAAAACTGAAGGAAACTTATTTGCTTGGGTTGCCTCCCAAGAAGCGCCACGTTTACGTCATCTTTGGCTAGACGAAACATGGGTTACACATCCACTACAAAAAAAACGCTAAAATAGCGACGGACTTTTCCGTCGCTAAACCGTATAGCGACGGACTAGCGACGGATGTCGTCCGTAGCTAAAAACCCCGTCGCTAGATTTTAGCGACACAACATTTTTCCGTCGCTAAATCTTGCGACGGAAGAGTCCGTCGTTAGTCAAAATAAATCCGTCGCTAAATTCCACTCGGCGACGGATTTGAAGAGGACGTTTGTGACCGAATAACAACCGAAGGTTCGGTCGCTATATTTAGCGACGGAAATTCCGTCGCTAAATTTCATTTGACGGCAGATTAGAAGACGAACTTTGTGACCGAATAACGACCGAATCTTCGATCGTTATATGTAGCGACGGAATTTCCGTCGCTAAGGCAAAAATAAAAACTTCGTCGCCACGGAATTTGCAACGGCTTAGCTACAAATTATTCCGTCGCTAAATATAGCGACTGACATGACCGCCGCTATGTTCCGTCGTTATTTTTACGACGGAAAGTATCCGTCGCTAGACTTTTGATTATTATTTGAATTTAATGTGATTTACCTACAACTTAGCGACAAAAATATCCGTCGCTAAATTTAACTACGGATTTTTTCGTTGCTATTTTGTTGCCTTACTACCATACGTCGCTAAATTTTAAAAAATAATAAAATAATTATACCCACTAATTAATATAAGAAACATGCATTAAGGCTATAATATAGTATTTGATTAATATAATTATAAAATATACTATATTAAAGCATTCAAAGTGAATAACAACAACAAAAGTATTGTAGTATAATGTTACATCATTAGTACCAGTATCAAATATATTAATAAACATAATCTAATCATCTCCTAAGTTTTTACCATTTGAATTAGCCGAATGTTGAGCTTGAGTACTTGGATTGGATAGCATACCATTGCGACGCAACTCATCCATCAAACTTGCAATTTGAGCTTGCATTTGAGCCTGCATTTGAACTTGCATTTGAGTTCTTTCAGCTTGTAGTTTAACTTCCATATCAGTTCTTTCAGCTTGTAGTTTAACTTCCATCTCAGTTCTTTCAGCTTGTAGTTTAGCTTCCATCTCAGTTCTTTCAGCTTGTAGTTTAGCTTCCATCTCACATCGCATGGTCTCTAACTGTTGGTTCATCATCTCCTTCATTGCCTCTTGTTGAACTTGTGAAGTAGCAGATGAACTACAGCTATTCCCGCTGATAAATGCAGATGACTTAGTCCCTAAGCCATAAATACGCTGCTTTTTTACCCCACCAACAACATCCACATACATCTGTGACATGTCTATAACTGGTGGGTCAGTTGAACCTTCCGCCTCTTGCATTACAGCATCACGTCGTGCTTGTATTTCGTCCTACAATTAAAAACGTATACAAAATAAGACAAGAATAAAGGATTAAAGGCATATAAGCACTCAAACAACGATTTTCTTTGACCTCAAACAACATATAAGACAAGTAGCATATACACACAAGAAGTTTAACTTTAAACTAAGAATACCTAAACTATTATGTTCATATTCATGGTAAAGCCCACAAGAACCTTAAAAGGGACCATCATCTACAATCATCTACAAGCTACAAGCTACAAAAACCATGTGTATTCCTTAAACATATATGTCAGTTTGCTGAAGTTTTATTCCTTTAACTCATGTGTATTAAATAACTCATCACACGAATGTAATATAAGACAAGTAGGTTATACTTACAGCGATTTGCTTTGACCTCTCATCAACGAATGTATCATCCTTCTTTTTGTGGGTATGCGCAAAGTACTCAAACAGATTAGGCTCCTTTTGAAGTTCAACCCGCTATTAAACAATCACAAACAATAAAATGATGCTTAAGATCCGTAAAATATATACAAATAATAAATTTTTATATTAAATGTATTACCAATGTGTGGAAGTGCTCAATACTTGATCTAGATCCTCCGGTATGTCGAGAACATCCCGTACCAGGTCCGGCTACCTCACTCATCCTATTTTTGCGTTGCTGTTCAGATTTAGCTTTCACTTCAGGCCTATCCCAATATGCCTCCCAAATGCGCCATGTATCTTCGTGTATAAAATCTGGCTTCCCAGATGAAGTCCGATTCTTCTTTATTCTGGAGACCATATCGGTATAGCGTGTTCTTGTTTGTGTTAAAAATGCTATATGTACTTGACTGTTAATAGTCTCGTCCCACTTGAAATATTTCTGTAACATTACAAATTACAAATTTGTCAAATATATGCAATATCATCCATAAGATGCATTGGACAAAGTTACTAACATAAATTATATAACATTCTAGCTTCAAGAATGAACCACACTATTTTCAAAAACATATCGTAAATTTACCTTAAATTCTTCAAAGTAGTATTCCTTGTAGTCATTAGACACCGTCTTCCAAGTATACCCATCAGGGTAAATCCTTTGCTTTAATATTTTTGTAATTGTATGTGAACATGTGTTAGAAGGCATTAACCTGTACATATAGAAATGATTAATAAAGATAAAAAATAATATACACATAAATGTAAACAAAAAAACACATTTTTACCTCCCATCCTCTATATGAACAATAGGCAAATCACAAGCAGTAGATGATCCTGCAACTGATGAGGATGTGGGTGGAGCAGTAGAGTCTGATGGTGATGGAATCGGCAATTCAGGTGGTGAACCAATAGAAGCAGGTGACACAATAGCTGGAGATACTATAGCAGGAGGAGGTGCCACAATAGGAGCCACAGGAGAAGGAAGTGCAGACGATGATGGGCTAGAACTCGGAAGTGTAACCGATGCACCGCGTCCACGTCCTCTTATGCGTCCAACTCTACTACCACCTCGTGTCATCTAAAAAAGTATAATAAAATATAATAAAGTTAAATAACATATAAATATAACATGTACATTTACTATGTAAACTATGTAGTAACTATCAATACCATTATCACTATCTCCTATTACTGAACCTCCACTTGAGTCATCTATTTCTTCCTCTAACTCAAGTTCATTTTCGATGTCACCATGTTCGCCATCAAATTCTATCACCCCACCATTTGGGTCATTCAAACGCAAAGGGTCTTCATCTATTTGCATAAAATCATGATTGTCGGTAGTTTCCTCTTGAAATGGTGCAGGTATTTGTGATTCTTCAGTAGATATAGATGATTCAGGAACTACTATTTCAGATCTCGCTTTAATTTTGCAAACAGCCCACCAGTCAAGTTTGTCGCGACGCAAACTTGGGTATGTACAATAATAAACTTGAGCAGCTTGCATTGCTAGAACGAATGGTTCATAGCGATTAAATCTACGCTTATGATTAACTTCAACAAGTTTATACTCAGAATGAATCTTCATGCCCACACTTGTCGGGTCAAACCACTCACACTTGAATAATACTAACCTCTTGATTGGTAAGCCAGGGTACTCTACTTGTAGAACTTCTACCAATCGACCATAATAATCACTTTCATCTACACTATAGTTTGTACCTTTTATGCAAACTCCACTGTTCATTGTTTCTTTAGCTCCACCATAACCAATGGTGTGAAATTTAAAGCCATTCACATAATACCCTGAATAGGTATTAACGCATCTTAGTGGCCCTTTTGCAAGATCCTTTATAAATTTGTTTGAAATGTTATTTGAAGGATCATGTGCCTGTATAATACATAATCTAAGTGTTAAAGTTTATTAAATAATTTGAATTTTAATATACATAATATATATACAAGTCTTACATAGTCATTGAACCAATTTGCAAATTCATTTTCCAATTTACCATCAATGGTAGTACTGGAAATGTTTGGTTGACTCCTCTTTAACTCCTCAATATAAACCCTTTAAAAAAATAAGTGGGTTAACATTTATAACACATTGTATAAGAAAATTGAACAGAGAAGTGAATTCTTACTCCATAAATGACTCCAGTTCTGAACAATTTAATAACACATAGGTTTGAGCAGCTTTATACTCTTCATCTGTCATATATCTCGCTTTTGCTTTACCAAATGCTCGACCCGGATACTTGAATATAGAAAGAGTTTCTTCATGTTCATCAACTACATATTCACTACTATCTGCATTTCGAGGCATGTTTCTGTGCTTCGTGCTAACATGGTCCTCAAAATAGTATGAACAGAACGATGATGCTTCTTCCACCAAATATGCATTGGATATAGAGCCCTCGACTTTCGCTTTATTTTTGACATTATTTTTTAATTTTCGAAGGTATCTAAACACAATTAACATATGTTAGTGACAATGTTATTATATGTTTGGAAACACATAAAACTAGACCAGCAATTATACCTCTCAAATGGATACATCCACCTATATTGAACTGGACCAGCAATCTTTGCTTCATAAGCTAAGTGGATTGGTAGATGCTCCATAGAGTCAAAGAAACTAGGTGGAAATATACGTTCAAGTTTACATAGAATGAGAGGTATGTCATTATCAAGCTTCGTCATTTCCTCAACTGCAATTGTAGTGGAAGTAAGGTTCTTAAAGAATAAACTCAACTCTGTAAGAACTTTCCAAACATTTAGCGGGAGCAACTCACGAAATGCAATTGGTATTAACCTCTGCATAAACACATGACAGTCGTGACTTTTCATACCAAACAACTTCAACTTCTTCATATCTACACATCGACTCATATTCGATGCATAGCCATCAGGAAATTTGAGATTCCTAACCCATTCACACAATGCTCCCCTTGCCGGTTTGTCAAGTGTGTAACAACCTTTTGGGAACTTTCTGGTCACAGGGTCTTGCTTCAGCTCAGGCCGCCGACAATAATCATTCAACTCTTCTCTAGATTTATATGTGTCCTTTGTTTTTCCAGTAACATCCATTACTGTGTTGAACACATTATCAAACACATTTTTTTCTATATGCATGACATCCAAATTATGTCGTACTAAGTGTGAACTCCAATACGGCAAATCCCAAAAGATACTTCGCTTCTTCCAACCGCAAGTTTTGGAAATTAATCCATTAACTTCATATGCATCCAATTCAGTGACCTTTTTAAGGCCTAAAGTCTCAATCTCTGCAAGGATATCATATCCTGACCGAACAGGTGGTGCCTCAGTTGTAACCGCTCTATTCTTAAAGAATGCAGTCTTATTCCTACGAAATGGATGATTCGGTGGCAAAAATTTTCGATGATTGTCAAACCACGATTGCTTACTACTGTGTTTTAGGGTGAAGGCATCCGACTTGTCCATGCAATACGGACAAGCTAACCTCCCAGCAGTGCTCCACCCGGATAACATCGAATATGCAGGAAAATCACTAACTGTCCACATAAGGGCAGCTCGCATCTGAAAATTTTGCTTCTTTGAAATATCATATGTTTGAACATCGACTTCCCATAATTGGTTTAACTCCATAACAAGCGGTTGTAAAAAACATCTATCTTCTCTTTTGGATTTTTTGGACCTGGAACCAATACGGTCAAGAACATATACTCCTCCTTCATACACATCCAAGGAGGCAAGTTGTACGTTGTAAGTATCACAGGCCATGAGGAGTATTGTTGCCCTGATTGTCCAAATGGTTGAAAACCATCGGTGCACAGACCTAACCTGACATTTCGAATTTCAAATGCAAAGTCAGGATAAGTGTCGTTAAAATGCTTCCAAGCAAGCGAGTCTGAGGGATGACGCATGATTCCATCTTCAACTGAATTTGCATGCCACTTCATATCATTTGCTGTAGCATTAGATGCATACAACCTCTGCAGTCGAGGAACCAAAGGAAAGTAATACATTTTTTTGTATGCTACATTAGTTTTCTGTCGTTTTGTAGTACCACGAGAAGTTTGTTTAAATCGAGGGTGGGCACAAAACTTACACGTTGTCATATCTATATCTGACTCCCAATATATCATGCAGTTGTTCTTGCAACAATCAATCTTCTGAACCGGCAATCCCATACCCCGTAATAGCCTTTTGGTTTCGTAGAAGTTGTCAGGAACTAGATTATCCTCCGGAACAACTTCTTTCAAAAGTTCAGTGAATTGATTGAAGCATTTTTCTGATATGTGATTCTCTGATTTCAAGCTCATAAGTCGAGCTACAAGAGACAACTGCGAGTGTTTGTTACTCCCAGGCCACAACTCTTGATCTGCAGCTTTCAGCATGTCATAAAACTTTTGGGCCTCAGGATTTGGAGATTCTTCTATTTCATCCACATTAAATTCAGGACCAGCAGCATCCATAACCATTGTGTGGTAAGCATTAGATGCTTCTTCACTAGCCACTTGAGATGGGCCACCAACGTCTTGATCAACATCTAAATTGACATTGTACTCGCCATGGAAGCGCCAAACATAGTAGTCTGACACAAATCCATATTTTGCTAAGTGGTATTTCACGGTAGGCACATCTAAATACTTGGTGTTTTGACACTTGCGTTGATTACATGGACACTTAATTCTTTCCCCGTCCATCCAACTATGTTGACTAGTAGCAAATTGGATGAAAGTTTCAAGACCAGCCAAAAACTCTTCGGTGAGAAGACCATTTCTAATACGTGTATACATCCAATGACGATTTGAACTCATTGTATTTATCACCTATTTCAAAATATTTTTCAATGCTACATTTCATTTTTTTTTTGAAACAATCACTGAGACATTCAAATAAAGTTGCAAATAAACAATCATGCATTCATAAACCTCCGGTACCCACAGGCGGTTTAGCCGGAGAAAACACATGTGCCGGTACCCACAGGCGGTTTAGCCGGAAAATAAACAACAAATAAACAATCATGCATATTTATAAACCTCCGGTACCCACAGGCGGTTTAGCCGGAGAAAACACAAGTGCCGGTACCCACAGGCGGTTTAGCCGGCAAATAATAAAGAACAAATGAAAATTTTGTAATTTTTCATACCTTATCAATCGCAGAAGAACTTGAAGAATCTTGAGTGTAATAATGCGATTCCCAACCAATATTTGTGATTCTTGACTTGAAACTGCAATTATACAATGATATTATTGGTCGCTTAGACATTTTGAGCTCACAATTCAAAGACAACAAATAAAACACAATAGCTAACCATATATTATTAAAATTTAAGAATATTTATGCATTCATATATCCGTGTTGGAGAACATGTTTTATCCATCCACAACTATGTTAAACATTAGGGAAAAGAAAGGGGATTAGCAGCCTAAAATATAAAGTAAAAAGTAAAGAAATAATGCTTCCTAGAGGTATGACACAAACTGTTTGAGAAAATGAGAGGTTTTAGTGTAATAATTTGAGCAGAGATTAAAGAAGGGTAATTGTTTTTGTTGGTCAGCCTTAAAAAATGCAACTTGCAAGACAACATATTAAGCAACACAGGTTGTTCCAAGAGATTGTCTAAAGAACTAAAAGTAATTAGTGTGGTTCATGGATCAATGCTAACATAGGTTGTTCCATTTTTTAGTTATTATACTTGTAAAGAATTCGATGGATACCTGCACCATTATATACTAACACTTGCATTTAGTAATACTTGCTTTTAGAGTTAAGCAGCTAACACTTGCACCATTTTTTAGAGCTGAAGTGGCAAAGTTTGAAGCCACAGCCAAATCTGGGTTGATGCATGCCACCCCATTAAGAAATAAGTTTTTGGTGTTTTTTGTGTCTGCCACACAATAGTCTTGGAGTGGATCTGGGTCAGATTTTACTAGCTTCACAACGAAACTCAGGAATACAATAATGGCTTTCAACAGAAAGGGTTTGATTCTCATTTTGCTCTAATCTGATCTGATCTTATCTTGTGGGGTAATATAATGCAAGAAAAGAAAAAGAAAGGACAGTGCATATATAGGGGATGTAGAGTAGGTGAGAAGTATGGAAATTTGTGTCCACTTTGGGAGAGAGATTGAGTAGCTTAAGAGCATTACAAGACAAAAATGGAAGCAAAACCCATCAATGTTTGTCTGAGAGCTCTGCAACTCCTTTCTCTTTGTGCATTTTTTTAAAGTAGTAATAAATCTATGTGTTTATCTTGAAACAATTATTTTATAATGTTTGCAATTATTACTTTTTTGTCATAATTTTTTTTTTCCACATTTTCCTCTTATCTCTTCCCTACTCTCTTTTATATGGACCTAAAAAAACCAACAAAATTCTATGCACATGGATGAGCTTGCTCTAATGGGGGATGGGATTTTATTCCAGCAAATACAATTTTTTGTGAGACCAACACTGCATTTTCTCCTTAGTAAATGATTGGAATAAAAAATTGTGTTGTGTGCCCTGGTTTTATGTGCAAGATAGAGTACTTAGGTGTAAGGTCATTTGTAGGTACAAATCTGCAGAAAGCAGAATGTGACACAACATTGTTAGATGGTGATTGAATGGTAGGTAATCTAACTTGTTGTTGCTTAATCTGATGTTTTTTGAACCAATTCATTAGACTAAGTACTCTGGAAGCTAACACTCACATAAGCCAATAATACAAGGTAATTCAGAATTCACTTCTTATCTCTAATTTCCCACATTCATTATCATCACCATTTACTGTCTACCCTAACCCCCATCTACCTGCCCACACCACAAGAAAAACGCAGGACAATCACAAAGTAGGAAGCAGGAACCCTAGTGATAAAATTGCACTACTGCTATTGCAACTTAGGCTTAAAACCTATCATAATCTCTTTATTTCACAAATTATATATGGGGAAGCCATAAACACACATACCAAAAGGATGCAGGTCAACCGGCGGCCGACGGAGCAAGCAGCGGCTGGTTGGCTGAGGAAGCAGCGGCGGTCGGCGGGGCAAGCAACGGCGGTCGGAGGCGATGCAGGGGCGGTGGGAGACGATGCAATGGCAGTCGGAGGAGAGGCGGTACGCTTGGTCCCAGCGGCAGTCGGAGGAGATTTATCGGGAGGAGAGGCGGTCGCAAGGCTATCGTTGTGTTAAACAAAAATATGGTCAGTGTATTAGTTGACCCGCGTGTATTTTAACGATGGAATTTAAATCCATCGCTAAATGATAAATACGGATGCAATAACATTCTAAACCACGCGACGGATTAAATTTCCGTCGCTAGTTTAACGACGGACATTTCAATCCGTCGATAAATTATAATTACGGATATATCAACATTATAAGGCTAGCGACAGATTACATTTCCGTAGCTAATATAACGACGGATACTTAAATCCGTCGCTAGATGATAAATACGGCTACGCCACCATTCTAATTCTAGCGACGGATTAAATTTCCGTCGTTAAATTAGCTACGGAACTTTAAATCCGTCGCTACACTATGAATTCGAATAGACTAACATCCTAAACCTAGCGACGGAGACAAGTATCCGTTGCTAACTAGCGACCGATATAAATATCCGTCGCTAGCTAGCGACCGATACAAATAACCGTCGCTAAACTAATAACACAAACTAACATCGCTTTAAAATCTAGCGACGGATGTAGATATCCGTCACTAATCTGTAGCAAAAAAAATCGTAGAATTAACCCGCGAAAACTCCGTCGCAAATCCGTCGCAAATTCGTCGTAAATTTTTGCGCGGAAATTTGCCGCTAAAATTAGCTACGTTTATAACGACGGAAATATTCCGTTGTGATATCTGTCGCAAATCCGTCGCTAATCCGTCGCTAAATGTCCCTGTAATAAAAAAATGAAACTCCGTCACTATGTTGTCGCTATTCCGTCGCTACATTAACAACGGAATGGGTCCGTCGCTATATCCGTCGCTATTTTAGCGTTTTTTTGTAGTGATCAAAACATACAAGTATTGGGACCGCACCATGCGTCCCATCTACCTTGGCTTTGAGATATGCCCCAACATGCCGAGCATTCTCAAACATATTGTCACAAATTGAGAGCACAAATGTAATCAATATCACACAAGGAATTGCATAAAGAATTAAGCTCTCTCCTACAAAGTTATTGTGCCCTCCTTCTTTTATGTCCCTTTCTAATTGACCCTCATTATATTTTTCCTTCCATGCACTTATGTTATCAAACACCACAAAGTCATTCTCATTTTCTACCCTCTTACAATTTTCCACACTTTGATCTTCACCACCAACCTTTTGCATATCATCTACATCAATTTCACTTATCTTTCCCTCAGCATTGTTGTCAAAAGTGACAACTTCACACTTTTGCCTACCACCCTTCTCCACAAACTCTATACTCTCCTCATCCCCCCAATCTAAATCCTCACAATCAAAGAATTTATCACAAGAATGAGAAGAAACATTATCACAACCACCTATAGAATCATCCTGCAAAGAATCAAGAGAACTATCGTCATAAGCATTAAACACATAGTCACAAGATACATAATAGTCATCTTCATAAGAAGCATAAATGTGATTAAGACAAGATTTAAGACATGCATAATCAAATGTAATGACATAAGGAGGATTTGGAATGTTACCACATGTAGTGCCACCACTTGGCTTCTCGTCTTCCCACACAACCTCAATGTAACACCCCGTGTTACAGCCTTCAAACCCAAATTAATTAAATTAATTATGCTAATTAAAATAATTAAGAAGGATTTAATTCAATCATAATTCTCTTAATTTATCTATGCGGTCCTCAATGGAGCGTGAACCTTTGCCTGAATTAGAAATCTTAAGCCCGTGGGGAATAAGGAAATTGGGCTTTATCATCCAGACCCTGAATAGGTTTTCCCTTAAGTATAAAAATAGAAGATTAGGAAGCAGATAGAACCCTTCCTCACCTCCTTCTTACTCGAAAATCTCTCAGGAAATCCAGCCAAGAAATCCCTCACCAGCAAGCTTAGGATGATCGATTGGGAGAAGAATCTTAGGAAAGAACATTAGTAGCTGAGGAAATCGATTAGGGCTAGAAGGTAACCCATGTCTTACAAAACCTATTTTCCTTGCTATATCTTGATTATTAGCTCCTTTGATCTGTGATTCTGTGATTGAGTCTTGATAGAGCTTTGTCTAGGGTTTATGTTGTGTTTATTTGATGATCTTGATGATCTTGATGTTGTGATTGATTATATGTGTAATCTTGTATTTAATTATATCTAGAGCTTGTCCCTAGGGTTTATATCGTGAATCTCGTTGTTGTGATGTTCTTGGTATTCTTGGGTGGGTTTATGCATGCTCGGGTATTGGGTCTAGTCTAGGACTTGTCTATAGGGCTTTGCATATAGACTTCTTGATGTTCTTGAGGTTCTGGATGCTCCTGAATCGTTATGTGATTGATGTAGAGTCTTGGCATGTTTAGGAATCGTGTTAGAGTGTAATTGGAATGATTTTTGGTTTAATCTTCGTTAATTGAATCCGTGATGTTGCTATTACGTGTTAGAATGTGTTTGGACATGATTTTGAGTTCCACGAACAAACACCGACCGGGATTTCTACCTTCGTACCAGTGGGGGGTAGGTAGGGGGGACGAATCCCCACCACCTACCCGCTACCCGGAATGCCTAGTTCCAGCGGGCAGTGGTCTGCCCGCCGGGCACCCGCTGGAAAGGGGGCTGCCCACCGGCGGGTAGTCCACCACCCACCGCCCAACCACCGGAAAGTGGGTGTGCGGCGGGATGTTTTCCC